CCAGGCTGGATTTGAACCCACCACCTTAGGTGTATGTGGCTGGCGCCTTAGCCACTCAAGCCACAGGCACCAAGCCAGAACTTCCTTTTTTTTTTTTTTTTTTTGCAGTTTTTGGCTGAGGCTGGGTTTGAACCCGGCACATGGGGCCGGCGCCCCACTCCTTTGAGCCATAGGTGCTGCCCAGTGCTTTGAACTTCTTTTGAAAATAATGATCTTTAAAAATTTTTGTGGCACACCTAAGATCCTCCTGTGACACACACCAGTTGAAAAGCACTGTAATAGTGAAATGTGAGTAATAACTTAGGTAAATAATCAAATGACTTGTGTCATTTGGAAGTTGATTAGAAAAATGAGAAATTTGGGGTACCTAGTATAGTACTTTAATAGCTACTTCTCTGCTAGCACTTCTTTATCATAGAAAACAGGGCTCCTAAAAGTCATCAAACTGAAGGAAGGTCACACAAAGAAGTACAAGCTGCAGAATTTAAATTCCCCTCTTCCCCTAGAGCAGCCTTGGGTACCAGCACTAGGCCAACAGGCCAGTCTAAGTTGGGACCATGTTTGTTCCTAGATAATTATACTGGGGTAACATCTGACAGGAAGCACGCAGGAGCAGGGAGCCTGGGGACAGCCAATGTGGCATGTGTCGGGCTATCATCTCATGTCTGAGTCTCCACTGGACTGTCAGTGAGGCAGACGGGGCACCAGGTATGTGGGGGCCAGTGCCCAGGGCTTCCTCTGTCCATTGCAGATTCATCTGCTTCTTGAGTCCCATTTCTCTTCCTACACCGGCCATATGAGAGCATATCTTCCTATTCTGGCATGATTGTGTGCTGACCTCAATGTGACTTCTCTTCTCCTCAGACTGGGATCAGATCCAGACAATAGACTCCTTGCTCAGGAAAGGTGGCTTTAAGGCTCCAATTACCAGTGAATTCAGAAAAACGATCAAACTCACCAGGTAAGCTACGGTCTCATTTTCCTTGTCATTTTAATTAAGTTGAGGTTGGGTAAAGGATACTTTTGATGGGAAGGGGAAGAAAAACTTTCCTGTAGTGTCCCTAGTCAAAAGGAATATAGGGGAGAATTAAGCTTTGAGGAAGCAGCAGAGCAGACTTGCCCTTGGCACCTTATGGGTCTCCATAGCTAAGCTGATTGCAGGGTTGGCAGAGTGTAGGCCTAGGCCTACTAAGCAAGTCATGGATGGCTTGGTTGGGAGGCTGAGGGGGCCAATTAGAGTTAGGAAGTCCAGGGTCAGTTGAGGTGCTACTTGCTGTCCACACATGCAGTCAGGTGACAGGAGAGTAAGAAAATGCTTTTTACAAAAAGTTAAATGGAAACACCTTCCCTGTTTGAGGGGAATACTTCTAAGAGGAGGCTGCCTAGTGTAGCACAATGCACATGGACTTGGGGTCTGAATGCCAGCTCAACTACTTGCTAGCTGTGTGACCTGGGCCAGTTATTCCACCTCTCTGAGCCTGTTTCCTGTCTGTAAAATGTGAGTGATACCTTAGGGTTGTTATAGGATATGGTAAGGTAACGTATGGAGAATTTCTAGCCTAGGGTCAGGCAACCTTGTGGGTGATTATTAGATGTCAGTTCTCTTTCTCATCCCTATTGAAATCAGAAACATTTGAGAGGTTTAGCTTCTGTGGGCCTCTGTTGGGCCCCTGTTCTGTAAAATGCTGAATAATCATATACTAATCTCACAGGTCTGTTGGAAGATAACCCAGTGTTTTTAAAATGCTTTGGATTCCAAAATTTTTAAAGCAGCAACAAAAAACACTCTTCAAATACAAAGCATTATTATTATTATTATTATCATCATTATAATTTATTTGAACAGCCATTTCCCTGTCAAAATTCAGGAATAATCACCTTGCAGTGGAGGAGTGATTACAGTGGGAAAGAGATGGCTCTGGGTAAGGATTGTCACACCCAGCTCCTGTGGTCTGTAGTAGGCTCCATAGGTTTGTAACACCCCATGCTTCGCATCCTGACTCATGGCTCTTTCCAGAGCAAAGCCAAAGTGCTATGAATTCTGTTCTGATGATCCTGCGATATGGCATATTCATCTGGGGATTGAGACCTGTCCTATATAGCCCCAAGGATCCTTTAACCTGCTTCATCAGAATTTGACTCAGAATTAGGTATCTGTGCCCCTTTTTAGTTACAATATGTTTGTTGCTCTTCTGCAAATTGAGGTTTCATTTCTGTCAAATTTATCACATTTTAACCTGAAAGTAGATATGCAGTTTACACTGGGTTTTGGTGCAGCCATCTTCCAATCTGCCACCCGTGTAATTTGTTTGACCTTGAAATTCTTCATCCAGACCCCAGTAGCGGATTGCCTACGAGCAGCCTAAGCATATGTAGTGTGTAAAGGTGTGGGATGTGCTGAAATACATTCTCAGGGGTGAATCGTGATTGTGCTTTTTCATCTTGTTCATTTGTAATAACAACATTGTTTTCTTGTGCTGTCTTTCATTTTCTGTAAGTAAGATTGCTCTTGGTCTTCCATTTTATTCTTTTAAAATGTGGAATAAGCTTTTGGTTTTCTCTGCTGAGTGACTTTACAAAATGAATTATTTGGGGTTCCTAATACCCGTTCCTGTTTCCTTATACAGGTACCGAAGTGAGAAGGTGACAATCAGCTATGCAGAGTATATTGCATCTCGACAACACTGTTTCCAGAATGGCACTCTTCATGCCCCGCCCCTCTACAATCATTACTCCTGACACACGGCTGCATGACCAGTCCCACCCCCCTGTGGCCACCAATGGCTATGACATCATTGGAGCAGATGCCTCCTCTTCCTGGTCCAGTTACTTCTACTACTGCACCATTTTATGATGCTAGCTTCCGTTGCCAAGTCTGCCTCCTGCTGACTGAGGGGGGGGGGGGCCGGTAACCTTGAATGAAACAGAACTTGAGGGGCCCAAGCCTTATCTCAGCCTTTCCTCAATATGGGGTTCTGTTGGATTGGGGCTCCTCCATGACTAGTGAGAATTACTGTGTGGGTTCAGAAGCCTCTTGTCTGGTGATTAGCTGTGTGTGTGTTGGCCACACACTGGAAGCCGGAATTGATGATCCATGAAGGCTTAACCCCCACACACATATACCTTCAGCCTCCCCAGATCAAGTAGGTATATTCCCCTGGCAGTCTGGGCAACGGAGACCAACAAGAAACATTTTTAGGTTGTTTTAAATTCCTTTTTTTAAACTTCCAGTTTATTGCGCACCAAGAGTTGATCACAACCTCCATGCTTCATAAGTGGACGCCTCATTAGGGTTGGACGTGGGCACCATGAGTCCTTCAAGGCTTCTGGACAGAGACCCACATCAAGATCAGAAGCCCTTCGAGTGGCGTTGGAGATAGCATTGCTCAATAAGCCTTGAAGGTTTTAATTTTCATCCCACTCTCAGTTGGATTTTCTGGCACTCTTCCTGCATTGAGTCTCCCGGTATTGAACAGAACTGTGTGGTGTAGCCTGCTGAGGAATGGAATGGAGATGCCCCTGGGAGGTCCTAATGTCATCACTGCGGTCAGGTGTGAAAGGAGAGACCTCTTCATCATCACCCGGCTACCTCACTCCTCTACTGGTAGCAGTGCCTATAGCCGGAGCTAGGTTCTCAGAAGCATGGATGTGCACACAAGTGGTTGGGTTAGGCTTTAGGGGGACATGTCATAGGAGAGAATCCAGGGTCTCCAAGCTGGTTTCTTTCTGGGCAAATGTCCTGAGGGACCTTTAAGCAGGAGAGTTTCTTTTTCTAGTTTGCCTATAGAGATGGGAAGACTCGAGATGTTTCAGTCCTTTATAGGACTTTAGAACAAAGCTGTGTAACTACACAAGGTGAATCTTTATCTTGCCTAACATGCTGGGAATCTTCACCCCACCAGGGCAAATTTCCAAATAGCTCATTTTATTCTAGGTCTTTTGAACTTTCATGTGACATATTTCCCTGTCCCATTGTTGCTGATTTCCAAATACCTGTCAGCAAGTTTGTCCTCCCTTTTGCCTATTCTTCACTCATACAGTGGCAAAGTTAATAGAACTTAGGGGACTTGGAAGATGCTTTGAAAACACTGTCACAAAGACAGTAACTAAAAAACGAGTCACAGGAAGAGTGGCCAGTTGGAAGAAAGGATCCTAAGGACGATGTTACACTGGTTTTCAACAACATGCTTAGAGAACTCATGAAGTAGATTGGGTGTCAACCCAGTGAACACAAAGTTTAATTTATTTTTAAAAGTTTTTGTGGTGATGGTGTGGCTTTCTCAAATGGGCAAATATTCCAGTCAAAAATCTTTTTGAGTTTTTATCTGCCAGGAATGGGGAATTGGGGACTCAGGGCACAATCTGAGAAAGGACATGTGTGCTATTCCAGGCATTGCCGGCAAGTTTCTGGGAAGGAATGGGTGAGGGTGAGTGAGTTTGCTCAGCACCATCCTGTGCTGCTCACAAGAACCTGGCTTGTGCAAGGGAAACTTGGGTGACATCAGGGTGCCCAGTCGGCAGCCCCTCACTGCTATGATGGGTTCCTGTAGCCTGCCCTGTTTTCCTTGGTTATGGAGGTGAAGATGAAGGGGTTATTTCATGATGTCCTGCTGCTTAGAATATTAAATGTCTTGTTACAAATACAGGTGACAGCAGTTACTCTTAGGTGCGTGGATCAATGTTAGGGTGGTCAGCTCTGGACTAATCCACCCACCTCCAATTTGTACAACAGTATTGGTACATAGGGCTACACTCATTACTGTTCAAGTGTTCTATGTTAAAAGTTGTGTTTAATTTCTAAAGATTAAAAAAAGCAAAAAAATTGGTGCTAAACTTTCACCCCTGAGCACGCTCAGTGAGACTGGTCATGCAAGCATTTACAGTGCCATGCTCCTCAAGCCTATTTTTTCTTGTAGAAATTTTGCCCTATTTGTCTTCCCCAATGTATAGTATGTTTTTTATTTTATTGTATTGAGGGTGGGGTAGAATACCTGCCATTTAAGAAAATGAATAGAAAATTTAAAAACCCAGGAATGGGAAAAAAAAATCAGTGCACAAGAATCGGGCTGGTTATGCCCAGCACCACACTGATGTGGGCTCAGTGGTTTTGGAGTGAAGAAGCCTTACTCCCTGCACATTCCCTCATGCTCCCACACAAGTCCAGCAATGGAAATGCTTGAGTTCCTTTGCTTTGTCAGGGGGACTCAGGAGTTGACCAAGGGAAACTGTCCCCATAAGGAATGGGCACTGTCAGTATCCATCCTAAATGGGGCCTAGTCAGAAAGCAGTCGAAGTGTATGGTCATGGTCACCTCATGAATATGTATGGCAGGTGGCTCTCAGGAAAAATACCAAGTCTGGATCATCCATGTGGCAGCTTTGCATAGGGAGATAACAGCTCCGAACTGGAACTGAACTGCCTTCCACATGCTTGACCAAAGCAGTGATGAGGGTGGCCAGTACATGTGGTATGAGTGGTAGGTTTAAAGAGAAGGGAATGTTTTCTGCTGATTGTTTCCTTTGTCCTTGGGCTGCTCGAGCTGGACAGTAGGTAACCACTGTTCTCAAGGAACCAGCCCAACTTCGCTGGCTTGGTTCGGAGTTCGTTTCGTCCCTAGCTGTGAGTGCCTTTTGGTCTGGAAAGTTGGCTTGTCTCATAATACCCACAGCTAGGACATTCTCTCTCTGTAATTAAGAATCGTCCTTGTTTCACATTAAAAGAGAATGTCTTTGATCACTAGAGTTTGTCAGTGTTGGATTGTTTCCACTGTGAGATTCTTAAAACTTTCGCTTCATAATATTAAAACAACTCATGTTAGAGACCCTTCCAACATGAAAGGTTTGTAGTTAAGACATTACATATATTTTATTGTTTATAATAAAAATCATCTATACAAAAGAAGTACTGAGTGTTAATTTTAATATTTTGCACAAGATTTGTTTTCCATGATGTGTTAACATCTACAATTTCACTAACTGTTGATGTTATTTTCTATTGAGATTCTGGAGCTTAGGGAACTATGTGTTCTTTTTGTTTATTTTTGTTCTTATTTCCCTGAAGCAAGAGACTATATGGCCTTCAGAGCAAAGACTTCAGACCAATTCTTTGTATTACACTTGGTTGCCTCTTGGCTATATAACTTCTGAGTGCAAATCATTGAACTCTTTAATGAAGTATTGTAGAGAATAAATCATAACGGATATAACTTGTTCTTTGCCCTCTCTTTCTTTGACCATGTGACTTGAATTATGTGGAAGTGGTAACAGTGGTGCTATTTTTGGAAGCAGCCTATAAGATAGTATTCAGTCAGCCTGCAGATTTTATGTGGTGCTCATGACCCCCAATAACTTCTTTGTGTGGTTGGTTGGCACTGCCATGGGTTTTTTAGATCTAGGTTTCCTAAGCTTTGGTTTTTTTTTTTTTTTTTTTTTTTTCAGAAAGCTAGTTGGCATTAGACTTTCAAATAAATTTGACCTTGCCACAAATGCTAAAGAACTCTTGGGAAAAAACTATGCAAATTTAGGATATCATTTTGTGATGTTAATTAAGCAAAGGATACTGGTGTGGTCTGACCTAACTGGAAATGTTCATTTTTGGATGGCCCAGAAAGGATGAAATGTATTTGGGGAAAATGACAGCTATTTTTCAAAATTACAAACATTCTAACATTCAAACAAAATTACTAAGATTCTGGGCAGCACCTGTGGCTCAGTGGGTAGGGCACCAGCCCCATATACTGAGGGTGGCGCGTTCGAACTCGGCCCTGGCCAGCTAAAACAGCAGTGGCAAGTGCAACAAAAAATAGCTGGGCGTTATGGCAGGCTCCTATAGTCCCAGCTACTTGGGAGGCTGAGGGAAGAGAATCACTTGAGCCCAAGAGTTTGAGGTTGCTGTGAACTGTGATGTTACAGCTCTACTGAGGGCGACAAAGTGAGACTCTGTCTCAATAAATAAATAAATTATGAAGATTCTCAGTCTTATAATAAGATACCCAGTTCTGAGGCCCTTAACACTGAGCAAAACTCAAACATAGCTACAAAAAAAATGTCAGGGTTAGGTAATTTTGAAAATAGACTACAAGTGGCTCAGCGCTTGTGGCTCAAGCGGCTAAGGCGCCAGCCACATACACCTGAGCTAGCGGGTTCAAATCCAGCCTGGGCCCTCCAAAAACAATGATGGCTGCAACAACAACAACAACAAAAAACCTGTAGTCCCAGCTACTTGGGAGGTGGAGACAGGAGAATTGCTTGAGCCCAAGAGTGGGAGGCTGCTGTGAGTGGGGATGCCATAGCACTCTTCCCAGGGCGATAGCTTGAGGCTCTGTCTCAAAAAAAAAAAAAAAGAAAAAAGAAAAGAAAATAGACTACAATAAGCCTGTTAGACATTGACAAACTTTGTTAATAACTTGAAGTATGTAAAAGAATTTTTTGTCACTTTAAAAGAAATTAATGTTCTAGAGATCAGATCACATGTCCTTGATTTTGGGGGGGTGGTGATAAAATACATGTAACAATATTTGCTATTTTAGCCATCCACATTACCTTCTGAAATGCAAAATAAGTCATCTGATTAGATCAAAGGGGGTGGGAGGGTGCTCTAAAGCTGCTTCTAGATGACTCTATAGGGTCTAACCCTGGCTTGAATCTCAATTTGAAATACTGTAGTATTCAGTGGGCTGGTTAAAGGACTTGACTCTGTAACAATACAAAGAACCACAGCATTTTTCTGAGATATGTAATGCAAGTCTTACCCCTGCTGAGTGAAACTTTCCTCAGTGTGAAATGAAGCTCAGACTGTTGCTACTCATACAGGTTCTGTATGCCATGGCAAACTGAAAAATAAGTGACTCCTCCAGTTTCTAAACTCTTGGGGGAAAAAGCAAGAGAAACGTCTCTAATTCACTTGTCACCCAAGTCCTTGCTGCCAGAGGACACCCCCCACCACCACCGCACTATGGCCATTCTTTTATTGCACCCTAGCTCTGGACCAAAGAAATGACTCAGAGCAGCTGACAACTGGAATCTTCACAGGTTGGCAGTCCTACAGACCTAAGCTCAAATCTGGTCTTGGCACTTTATTTGTGAGACACACAATTATTACTACTCTGAATCTAATATCCTGCTTTGAGGCATAACTGAATCTCCAACGTAGCCTGTTGCAAATACTTTGCCCAGGTCCCAGGACATGGTGGAATAGCTGGATGGCTGTGGTCCTCTGGATTGTAGGGAACACAAACTCTCCATCACCTTAAGCTTCACTGGCATGTGGAATAAGGCAGTGCTCAGCCCTTCCAAGTCAGGGAAGGCTTCCTGTAAGAGGTGAGTGCTAAAGCAAGCAGGGCATGAGCTCGAGGAGTGAGGGCTTCTCAGAAAGAGGCAGATAAATCCTTTTTACGAGGTGACACTACCACAAGCCTTTCTTCTTTTTTTGAGACAGAGTGCCCTGGGTAGAGTGAGTACCATGGCATCATAGCTCACAGCAACCTGAAACTTAAGTGATCCTCTTGCCTCAGCCTCATGAGTAGCTGGAACTACAGGCACCTACCACGACACCTGGCTAATTTTGTATTTTTTAGTAGAAACGGTCTTCCTCTTGCTCAGGCTGGTCTCAGACTCCTGAGTTCAAGTGATCTACCTGCCTTGGCCCCCCACAGTGCTAGAATTACAAGTGTGAGGCACTGTGCCCAGCCTTAGACAGGCCTTTGAAGTCCAGAACTCAAGTCAGCTTTCTGGAGGTTTCTACACATGGATGTCAAGGGTTCCTTGCAGAAGTACACCCCCCCCCCCCAGACTTCATCCCTTTATATCTCTAAAGATTGTGGCTCGGCGCCTATAGCTCAACTGGCTAAGGCACCAGCCATATACACCTAAGGTAGCGGGTTCGAATCCCCAGCCCGGACCCGCCAAACAACGACGGCTGCAGCCGGGCGTTGTGGCGGGCGCCTGTGGTCCCAGCTACTTGGGAGGCGGAGGCAGGAGACTCGCTTGAGCCCAGGAGTTGGAGGTTGCTGTGAG